TATTAAATATACCTTATATGTAAATTTTATTTTTTTGTCTTTCCTATAAACTACCCTGAAACAAATTTCAACACAATAAAAATAATATGACCATCTAAAGAAGTGTATAACCTTTTTATAAATGTACTTTAATAACTTGTACCTTTAATTAATTTTTCTCTATAATTATTTTAATCGCGCGAAATAAATTCCGCGCGTGTATATTAGTACGACCCGTCGGACGATGTGATTTTATGACGTCACGCGTAAAACGCGACTTATATTTAAACACGGAACCAATTGTCCGACAACAATTTTAAGACCACCAAAATTATTCTTTTTCAAAGCCCTATACATTAAAACAATAAAAAAAAAATAGGTTTTTTTTAGTTGTATAGTCCTTTAACTTTTTAACTCTTTTATGAAAGCCTTGGTTTTTTTTTCTGTTTTAGTTATTTATTTTACTTTTTTTTCTAAAAGTTTACTTATATAGGTAACATATAATATTAAAATATGAAAACACATAGCCATCAGCTTAATTTGCCTCATGTAAAAAGTATATTACGACATTTGGACATCACTCCCCTCTAATAATAAAGTAAATGGAGACTGGAGTATCCAATTTGCTTCAGGAAACTTCCCTTAATACTGATTACAGTAGCTTTGCTCTTCAGGTAGGTATAGTCTTTAAAAAGTTACTTTAATAGCAATATCATAAAATATACTCGGTAGTTGGTAATATATGCAGACTTTGCCATCTTTGCTCAGTATCCTTTCGTATACAATGATATTTTTATTAATGAATTCTAATTTAAACAATACACCACTGTAACCCTTCTAAACGCCTACTGTATGACATAAGCGTGCGCAGACATTTGTGGCAGGGTGGGCTGTCAATAAAGATTAAGAAACCTGAACTCTGATGGAAGAAACAATTAATTTGTACATACTTTAATTTACATTCTCATAATCACCCATTATTTAAGGCATAAATCATTCATATGATAAAAAACAGATAAATATTTTTTTAAATTATTAATTACTGTCAACAGTTTTAAATTTTAAATTAATACAATTTCGAAATCTGTAATGGTAATTTGTTATCAATTTTTTTTTTTAAAGACATTTAATTTATTATTATTTATTATCATTGAGTATCAAATATCAATGTTATTATTCACCTACCTATTTAATGTTGCATGATTTAAAAAATCAAAAATTGTGATGATTAGATCATGTATTACTATGTATACAAATTTCGGTAGGTCTCGCAAGTCGCAGGGTGGGCCACGGACCACCTTGTGAGCACTTTTATGCTGTACAACAAAACAATACCCACTTATCACATTTTTTCGTCATGTTTTTCCTAGATATTATGAAAAGTTCTGGGAATTTCCAATTTTTAAAATTGATTTAAAAAATACCGAGCATAATACATTTCTTCACAGAAATCACCGCCAAAATTGAAAATCTAAGGGTTTTTTTTAAATTAATTTTTGTTTACAGTTACACACAAAAAAAAACATAGGTCATTGTAATATCAATACATTGATTACTCCACTCAGAATCTATAAGATATTATAATGTGAATAATAAATAATATAATGTTCTGCTGGTAACAGTGCAACAATTAACTGTATAGCTTATTTAATTAATTTGAAAATTTAAGTTATACCTAAAACATTTACAAAACAAAAATGTATAGAACAATACACTTTTCATAATAAATTATATATAAATATGTTCAAATTACTAACAACAGTGAGAACATTCTGTTTTATGCTTATTATTTTTGATGTGATAGTCTATTAACGACTACTCCACAATAAATTTCATGTTTTGACATATCCAGGGTCCAAGTTTTGGTGATTGGGTTGTAAATTTCTACAGCACCATTAAATTCTCAGCCGGTAACACACAACGAACCATCTAATACAGCTACTCCTATAAGAAATGTAATTTTAATTCAATATATTTTTAAAGTTGACACTTAAAACATTTTTTTTTTATTAATGCTTCAAAACTTGATAACGATTCCGTACAGCTATGACGCTCTCCAGTTGTTTTTGTAAAAACATAGCACATGCAGCACTTACGAAATCTAACTGCAAGATGTTTGCAGCCGGTAATAAGACCTTGAAAATCAACAATAATACATTTAAAACAATTTTATATTAGTCTACGACAAATCAAATTGTCAATCATACCTGTACATTTTCTTTTGTCACTATGATTTCTCCAGTGTAGATATAATCTACTAATAGTTGTAAAGCGACGGAGTCTAATTTTCTTATATTAACAATATCTTTATTGGTTTCATCAAAATTACTAAACATTGCACGGAAATATGTACTACCCGCCATCAGAACAATTTTGTGTGCAAATACTATAGTACCGTCATCTGTTTCAAATATAATATCACAATCTTCATTGCTAAAAAGTAAAAACAAAAATGTGTTAGGTACCTACTAATTATTTATTTTGAATGAAGCTAAAATCATTGACAACATACTTGCGTTGAGATTGTAATCCTTCTAGTATTCTAACAGATTGAAGGTTATCCGTCTTAAGCCATGGTGTACATTTATTGAGTTTCAAAACTGGCTTGAGATCATTTCCACGAGATGAAGTCTGTAAAGCATCCATTTCTTTTACTGAAATTCCTCCTTTTAAATTATTTCGAAAATTGGTATACCGCTCGTTTGACAATCGGTTAAATGTAAAATGATTTCAATGATTTTTCTTGTGTCACGTTGTTTTCAATTTTGTGTCGCTCACTCTGACCTCACATTAGGTAATGTAAGTTGTAACGGTCAACGGACTAAGTTGTACACGGTTATAACTTATAACGGACTTGACACGACACTTTTGGTGGGTGGGGTGACGACGAAATGTAGTACATCAGACGGAGTTCGGGGGGATATTTTCCTTTTAGCAATACTAGCGCCGCCCTAGTGGATACTTATGGAACTAGAAATTTGTTTAATTGTTTTACAGTTTAGTCCTTGGCCCTTGCCGACAACACACAATCGGACAATCCCCAGTCCCACACTAGGAAATCGTAACTGTTGTCTGTTATTGCTGGATGATCAATCCACGATATAGAGAAGACTGAAGAGAAGGTGATAACACTCCGCGAAAAGTGGCACAATTTTAATTTTTGCACAGACTTCTATATAATTCTGTATTATATAGAAGTTTGTGAATTTTTGACGGCACAAATTTAGTTAACATGAATACTGCCACATTACTCGAAGGCGGAAGGCCGGTTATATGCTATTACGGTGCATTAAATATAGAGTATAGAGTATAGACCATGCTAATGTATAATATTGTTCGAATTTCATAATTCATATGATATATGCTTATATCATATTAGCAAGTTGATATAAATAAAAATGTATAGTATAAATTAATATAGTCACGAATTCAATGAAATAAACATTTAGAGGTAGACTTCCAGTCATAACAAATAGTGTTTAAAATATAAATCCCTTCCCAATATTGTTCCAAATTTATTAGAATTGTTGTAAGAACTACGACTGTCCATTTAAATGTCTACTATTGACTGTTAAGTTACCGAACAATAAATATTATGTTAAGTTTTAAAATATTATTTTAAAAGTTTAATATGTAAATTAAATAATTGAAAATGCCAAATAAATGCCATGTACCAGGCTGTAAGACAGGATACGTTAGTGGAAGTGAAGGAAAAATATTGCTAAAGTGAATCAATATTTATAATATGTTCACAATATTTATAATGCGTTTTATAGAATTTATACATTCATATATAATACATCATAGTAGGTATAATGGTGTACAATATTTTGTTTGTACTCTTAACATCAATTACCTATATAGGTACTTATTGTGTGTTATATAATTTTAGAAAAATTGAAAAAATGAAAATTCGATACAAGTCTCAAATCAATGCGTGTACTATTTCTCAAGTACGACTTCAATTGTTTTAATGCCGAAATCGTTCTTTCTGATGACTATACGTTGATACCAATAAAGACTAAAGTTACTAACATTATTGACATCAATACCTACCATCACCTACCATAAAATGGAAAAAAATTCAACGGACACTTTATTCAAATTATCAATAGGACATTTATTCTCGGGAACTTTTTTCCATTTTCCATCCATACTTTTAATTCTGATTCAAATGTATTTTAACTGGGTAAAACATGTATATAAAAGTGTAAACATTTTTAAAAATCATTATTACTAGTTTTAATTTTATTGAGTAGATTTGGAATCAACTTTTGAGATACAGAAATTATTTCAATGTGTTTAGAAAATCGTTTTATTAATTGATTTTTAAAATAATCGGTAAATGGTATAAATATCGTTTGTTTATAAGACTTTTTCGGTGATTCACCTAGCGGAGTTATTCGAGGTATTTGTACATCCAATATATTCAAGTTATATTCGACTTCTAAGAACAAAATTTTGAATATTGTTATAACGACGTATTTTTTACGGTTTGATGATATAGCCATATAAGCTCTATAACCTATATCAGGGAAACGGATTCTATTATACTACAGATCTTGGCATGCCTGTGATACGCGATTTGAGAAATATAATTTACGTTTTCCATTGTATAGGACCCGACGATTCATTTATCGCAAACTATATAGTCATTTATCAGGTTTTAAATTTATTAAAAAATGTAATTTAATATATTATTATAAATCATATTACTACAAAAATGTTATATTGATTATAATTTATAACTTTTTTTTTTCAGTTTGTAACCACTAACCGGCGGCGCCGCGACGGTTTGTTTACTATTGAACGCGCATTACAACATTATACTTTTTAATATCATACATATTGAACAGACATCGTACGCCGCCTGCCACATTTACGCACAGCTAAGGCTGACGGACATTGAACGGAAAACAATTCAATCGCTCCAGACCGGCCGGCAGTCACCGCGCGGTATCGTACGACATCGTTTTTAACAGAATATCGACTTTCGCCTACGTCGAAGTTGACGCCGAGTGATGACCTACGGCAAATCGAAACGTACAGCCGCGCCGTTGGATGACCCGCAGCTCAACACCGACTTCACGTACAACTTTGACTCGTGCGTGGTGCAGGGTTCGCGGGAGGACAGGGACACGACGCCCACCGGACAGGGTGGAACGCGTGTGGATCACGAGCCGGCCGCCGAGGCTGGGCCCCGGCGGTCGCTCGTCGTGTGGTCACCAGGCACGTAGCCAGAAAATTTCTACTAGGGGGGCCAATAATGTTTGGCCCTTTTATTACTTTCCAAAATTTTTCTTTATGAAATTCTTGTAAGGGGTATGCAATACAAAGAATCTTATTAATTTAAATAATTTACCTTTAGTTGGTAATTGGTTAAAATTATTTTTTTCACAACAAGTTATACCTAATACTTACTTATTTAAGAATTACAAAAATAGAAAGTACCTGATAACAAAAAAAAAAAATAAATATTGAATTACCTACATCTTCACTTATGGGATACATTTTTCATGCTATGAAAAATAAATCTACATACATATTTAAAATAATAAGCTGCTTCAATTGTTTAACTTCAAAAATTAATTCATATTTGAATACTTATCAAAAATAATAGAGATAAATGATCATCGATTTTTAAGTTAATATAATTTTTAAAGAAACTCAAATTTATTAAAAAAAAAAAAAAAAAACACATACTAGTAGAAAATATTAAATAATACACTTATACTTATATAAATATTAAACAGTGCAATATAAAATAATTTTTCTGTTTTTATGATTTTCCGAAAACAATTGTACAAAAATATCTAGATCTAAGTTTTTAGAATTTTTTTTTTTATGCTCATTGAAGCTAAATTATTTAAACGATCATTTGTCATGCGATTCCTCAGAAAGGTTTTCAGTCGTCTCAGACATGAAAAAGTTCTTTCGCAAGCTAACTTAGCATAGACTTATAACTGCGGCTAATATATTATTGTTTTTAAAAAGGGTATCAAGACCCTATTATATTGTATTTTTTTCAGATAAAGTTATCCACGGTTCCCCGAATATAATAATTAAATTATTACAATAATAATTGTATTACCTAATAGTAATCACAATAGATTTCTCTCAATGTGCATAATCACATTTTTGATAATTGGTAAAAATAATTATATTTTGAATTTGGGGGGGCCGGCCTTGGGCCAGAGTATATTTAGGGTGGGCCCGGCCCACCCAGGCCCCCCCCTGGCTACGTGCCTGGTGGTCACGGGCGACTGTTTGAGGCCAGAAGAAAATAATATAATCCGCTACGGCCGTCGACTGCATAATGACAACATTGTTATTATACAATATTATTATCGCCATTGATCGATATTAACCCAGCCCGTCGTCACCAAAATCCATACGAAATAATACTGTTATCGGACGACGAGTTTGGTGCGGTTTCGACGATCGCATCGTAATATATTATTATTATATGATATGAAAATGTAATACGTAACAGACACGTCTTGCTAATATTTACGTTCATATAATGTCCTGCTACAGTGGCTTTGTTTCAGTTTTCTTTTTTCATTTTACCTTAACTAACATAGTAGGGCGAAATAACGCCACGGTTCCAATAATAATTAATAATATAAACTTTTATTACATCTAGAAAGCCGAACGCTTCACTTCGAAAGTTGACCAATTCGTCTGTGCAATATAAACATTAGTACGCTTTTCGAGACGTCTCGCCAAACCCCCCCAGCCCCCCCCCCGACGGGTTTATCGATATCCCTTTGGAACGAAGAGCGTACGAATGTTTATATTGCGCGTACAAATACGTACGAATAGAGGGCAAAGTATGGGTACAAAAAAATTTCAAATAACCAATGTTGGGGGCTGGCTTGACGACTCTTAATTATTGAATTAATTATTATAACTAAACGGTATTTCGAATAAAGGCGGGATATTTGAGTAGAAATTGAAATTTTTTTCATAATATTGTGGAGTCGGTGCGGTTTTAGTGCCGGCTACCTCCAACAGGTCACGTGATCGTGACAAATGGAATACATGAATGAACGAAATGGTTCGTTGCCCGTTGGTAATGTTTTGGTTTTTATTACAAAAACGAATGAGGAAAATGTAAAACAATATTAATTAAAGTACAACATGCCGTGTCTACGACGCGTTGGTAGCGTTGGTCACGAGGTTCGTGTGTGTGATAGTGGGTAGAGAGAAGTGCGAGCGCGTTTATTGTTGCGATGTCGCGGCCCGCGGGAGAACTGAGAACAGTTCTCAGTTCTCACAGAGAACAGCATGACAAAATATATTATACTGACATGGAGAACAGTGAGAACTGAGAAGAGAGTAGGTCTGAGGCCTGAGCGGCGGATAGAGTATAGACCGTAGCCGCCGAGCGAAGCCGACCGTTGGCTTGGAGGGGGGTGACCAACGCCGTACTGCCCGTACAGTGTTGACGTCGTCCGAGAGGAAATCATGTGACGGCTGTGTCGCCACAATATATTCATCTTTAGCCGCGGTTACTGGTTACTGGTTAGTTCTTATTGTGGGTAATAATATCATAATAAAAATCGTAATATCATAATAAGTCGAGTGTCGACACGGTTTATATTCGTCAATCGTTATATTATAATTATGGAGTCGAAACAACGATTAATTCTTGGGTGAATCTGAACGGAATGAACAGTAAACACCTACTTTTGATAATGTTTGTATTTTCCATGTTGACATGTTGACATTTTGTGCTATCAAATTTTATTTTATGCCTACTAAATAGTAAATATTGTTAAATGTAAAGCTAAATGATTGTGTTATTATTTTTATACTTCATTACTAAATTTCGAATAATTCAATTTATAGTCGTTAATGGTAGGTACAAACTACAAACTACAAAGTACCCACCATTCAAATTCAATCACTCCACGAGATACAAACGCGGGACGGCACACCTCACACTGCACACTCAATAGTCGGTGTGGACTGTCCGACTGTGCATTGAGATTCAACATCAGATACAGGTGGTTATTAATTTATTATTCAAATTGTGTGATAAAATATTTTGAATATATATAATGTTATTTAGGAAAGGTTGCCAATAATAACAATACTGTGTTTCTGTAAAATAAAGTATTATAATTTATTTAATTAGTTGTACAATGTTATAACTGTTATAGATATTGTATTAATATTATTACCTGTAAAATAAAGAAACAATATTAAAGTTATTATGCGTTCCTAAATGACAATTCACAATTATATTAAATTTATAAATTGTAGGACGTAGGTACTGGTGTAAGGTGTTAATAGTTCTTATAATCTAACCTCTCTTTTCTTATCATATCAAACGAATCCGATATGATAAGAAAAGAGCCTATATAATATTATTATCATTAAAGATAAACTATAGTTTTCTTTATATCTCCCCCTCCACCGGGAAAGAAAACACATCGCTGGCCAGGACCGCAAATTCCTTAGCTGGAACAAGTTTAGTGATGTGGAAAATATTCGACTGCGATTTTGAGTGGCCTGTATCTATTTTGTATATTGAGCTTGATATCTTCTCCAAAATTTTGTATGGTCCTATTTTTAATTCATCCAATTTCTTTCTGTTTAACCGATTTCCATTTTCTATGTACACAAGATCTCCTGTATTGAACTCATAATTTTTTCTTTTTTTATCAAATCGTTCCTTATTATAATTATGTGATTTCATACTATTTTCTAATGCTAGTTTTCTATCTTGCAATAGCTCACTGTGTGTCTTATGTTTCTTCAATTCACTTGGTACAATTGTAATGTCTTTGCCCTCCAACAAATATTTAGGAGCAAATCCAGTAACTGTGTGTTCGGTTTCATTATATCTCTTTGTACATTGATGTGCTATTGTTGTCCATGTTAATTTTTTTTTTTCATTCATTTTACATCTTATTTTATTTGTTAATGTTTGGTTTAATCTCTCATTTAGTCCATTTGAGAATGGTGCGTTTACTGCTGTAAAAACAATTGGTATATGTTTTGTATCTAGAAATTGTTTGAATTCCTTAGAATTTATACCTGGATATTGGTCCGATAAAACCATACCAACCTCCTGGTTTTCTGTTGCATTTTCAAATAGTTTGATAAAATCTTTTGAATTCTGAGTTTTTGATGTCAGGATGTATGCGTATCGTGTAAAATGGTCTACCAACAGATGTAAATATTTTTTTGTTGACCGGGAACCGCCAAATCCTCCTATTGTATCAATGGAAATAATTTCAAAAGGTTTTGTGGCCGGTCCCAAGTATGACATGAGTCCAAATTTATATTGTCCTCTTGACTTATTTTTTATGCAGACCTCACAGTTTCTGCAAATTGTGTTTATAGTTTGTGTTAAGTTCTTGGCAGTGTAGAATGGTTTTATTTTGTTCTGCAATTGTTTTATCCCAATATGACAATAATATTGATGTATATTTTTTATAAATTGGTGACTGAATTCTTCTGATAGTATAATTCTATCCTTGTTCCCAATCCTTCTATAGCTTATTTTATTTTTCTGGATTATTTTATTTTTTTTTTCCTTTAACTCTACGTTTCTTTTCTGATCGTTATATATATCTTCTAGTGTTATTAAATTTAAAAATTTTAAGCTTTCATCTTCATTTTCATTGGATTGGAGTACTGGGTTCCTACTCAAACAGTCTGCTTCTAAGTTGTATTTTCCTGGGGAGTATTTTACTTCAAAATCATATTGTGATAAATAATATGCTAAATCCCCTAATTCTTCATCTGTTCTGGCTTTTAAATTCATTTTTTCTAATGGCTTGTGATCAGAAAAAACTGTAAATTTTTTTCCTATAAGACGGTATTGCCAATACATCACTGCTTCCTTTATTGCAAGACATTCTAAGTAAATAGCTTTTTTCCTCTTTTGGGTTTCATTCAATTTTTTTGAAAAATATGCTACCGGTTTTTCTTCATTGTTTTCTTGTGGTTGTTTTAATACTGCTCCCACTCCTTGTATGCTTGCATCAGTATAAATGTATATTGGTAGATTTGTGTTGAAAATTGCTAGTACAGGTTGAGAACAAAGTAATTTCTTAATATTTTCAAATGATTCTTGACATTTTTCTGACCAAGTGAAATTTTGTCCTTTTCTTAATAAATTATGTAAAGGATCCAATATAATGGAACTATTTGGTATATATTTATTATAAAAATTTATTTTTCCAAGAAATTGTCTGATATTTTTCCTTGTCTTTGGAAT